TCCCGGTTCAACAGGGATAGGCTTCTTTTTATAAAAAAAGAAAACCAACCAGCCGAAACGGTCGATTTCTTTAACGGTAGGTTCTCCAAAAGGGGGCAATATTGCCCCCCACGGGTCGATGGGACTACCCAAGGGATCGATGTGGTTGTTGATGTTGTCGCTGCTGCTACTATTATAATACACAATAGCGTGAAATCCCAGCTGCCAGCTCTTTAGCTGGTGTTCGCCTTCATTCCCATCGAGTTCTTCCCAAAAACCTAGAAATTCTATTATTATATAGTATATTATTATTATTATTATTATTGTTATTGTTATTATTATTCGTAGTACTATTCGTTAAAGAAGTATTTATTAAATTATTTTCATACCATAAATGTTTGCGGGACGAGGAACCCTCCGAAACTTCATGAAGGGGTCGATGAGCTGAAGAGTTTGGGGACTCCTGCTTGAAAGGGAACTTGTGTTAGGAAAGGTGTGTGTGTGGGGGGGGGGGAGCTGTTTATAGGAAAAACGAAGCAAGCCGAATTCAGCCACCCGCAGCACGACAGGGGTAAGAAAACTGCGAACCAGCGACGGGAGCGGGGCGTAGGAATGGAAACTGAGTCCCGATTGTTTTCCTGTCGGGGAGGAAGAACGGGTTATGAATTTTTAAACGGCATCAGGCGGCGATCTGGGATTCTGTGGTTCGTTTGTCGATAAGCCCCAGCCGGGAGGTTTTGCTTCGGGCCTCCGATTCGGGAAGCGCCTCTCCGAAGCCAGCCAGAACCGAGCCCTGGTCTCTCCCCATCGCTAAAATCTAAGAGCAAAATGTAAAAGAAGTATAACATGGATTATAGGGTTTTTTTAAAAACACCTTTTTTCTCTCTCCCTATAGCAGCCTTGGGGCGGCCACCTCTATTACTTGGTCGCCCAGTCAGCCAGATGTTTAGGCTGGATTTGGCCTTTTTTGCCCACCTCTCGACTCCTTCCCAAGGACGTGGGATAGGCAGATGTGGTTGTTTGGTGGTGTTTAAGGTATCTCGTGAGCTGTTCCAAGTAAAGCTGCCTTTTGCAATTTTATATTATTATGATTATGGTTGGTGGCACAGTCAGCCAGAAGTTTAGGCTGGGTTTGGCATTTTTGTCCACCTCTGGAGTCCTTCCCAAGGACGTGAGATAGGCAGATGTGGGTTTCGCATGGATGATGATGATGATGATGATGATGATGATGATGATGATGATTAAATTCTGACTAACTGTCAGCTAGGGGAAGGCACAGCTTTCAGAAAGGAGGCAGGGGTAATCAGTTTCTAGACCCCTGTGATGGTAGCAAAATTCCCCACATTTACTCGTTGGAAAACCTCTCCATTCCTTTTGCCTTAAGACCATTTCTCTCTCTGAAGTTGATTCTGCCCCAAGGAGAGGAGCAGCAAGGAGGAAAAGACCATGCCGGTGGCCTGCACCGCACTTGAATACAACGCCCATCCTCCCCACCTGGCTGGGGATGCTGAGTGTTGGAGTCCGGGCAATCGGGGAGAGCGCCAAGTGGGAGAAATTGCTCCAGACAGTTCAAGTGACCCCGGATGATCCTGATTTTCGTGTTGGCATTTACGCCGATGTGGTTGCGACTCTTAGAACCAGTTCAAGTTCTGTGCATCAGTGTAACGTGCTTCCACGTCTCTTCCAGCTGAGTTTCAGGAAAAATATTGCCTAACTGGATGGAAGCTTGCCCACAAATTGTCTTGTTTTGTGTTTAAAGGAAGGTTCTTTTTAAAAACCTCACTTCCCCCAAGGCTGAGCTTTCCATATCAACTTGTCAGGAGCCTCAGTATATTGCAAAGTATCTTGTATTTTGAAGGAAATCTTAGCGGGGTGCATGTTGATATTTAACACGTATGTTTAATGTAAGTAGTGGACAGGAGAGAGTTGGAGGCATCTGTAAATGAAGAGGGAGGTTCCTGTGGAAGCGAATCCCATGAGTTTCACAGAGGAATTTATTCCCTCCTGGACATACATGCTATTCAGGAAGTTGCCCCGGGCTGGTAAAGCTGAGCTCAAATGGCCTTTTGAAAAAAGAAACCCAGAACGTGCAATCTTGGGACCCACCAAAGAAATCCCAAAAGCGAAGTAGACCAAGTTTAGGCCTTGCTTTAAGCCATGATAAGAAGCTTTACTCATACAGTTGTGTGGATCAACCATTGTTCTTCAGTGGTGCTAATTTTCAAATGTTGCTTTCCTCTTCGTCAGGGCGGGGGGGGGGGCAAGCCACGGGAACCGGGGATCCCCACCCTAAAGAGAATCCTTTTGTGAATTTATTTCGGCTCCTTCAAAGGATGTCAAAAGAGGATCCATTAACTCAGAAGGGCAGGGAGATGGAGCCAAGGGTT